CCTGGCCTTGCTTTGGCTGATGATATGGAGAGCTTTTCTACCATCTCTTTTCACTATGCAGTTAAGTTGATTTCTGTATATTCCATCTGGTGATGTCTGTGTGCAGTCATCTTTCATGTTTTTTTATAAAAGGTATTTGCAATGAAGAAGTCATTGGTCTTAGAAAAATCTATCATACAGTCTCCAGCATTGTTTCTATCACCATATTTTCTAACTACTGATCATTCCTCTTTGCTTGCAACCTTTGTATTCCAATTGCCAGTAATGCATCTTGATTACATGTTCTATCAATTTCAGACTGAAGACGTTGGTATAATTCTTCAATTTCATCATCTCTGGATTTAGTGGTTGCTGTATAAATTTGAAAATAGTGGTATGAATTGGTCTTCCTTGTAGGCGTATGGATATTGTCCTATCACAGAGAGTGTTGCACTTCATGACTGATCTTAATATGTTCTTTTTGATGATGAATATGATGTCATTCCTTTTCAATCTGTCATTCATGGCATCGCAAACGTTACTGTCATATTCAAAATGGCCAATACCAATCCATTTCAGCTCACTTATACCTAGGATATTATTAGTGAAATGATGTGATCCATTTTATTTTTGACAATTTTCAATTTTCCTAGATTCATACTTCATACATTTCATGTTCTAATTATTCATGGATAATTACAGCTTTTTCTCTTCATTTTGAGTTGTGCCCCATCAGTAAATAAAGGTCCCAATAGCTTTATTCCATTCGTGTCATCATGGTCAATTCTACTTTAAGGATGCAGCTATTCCCCAGTCATATCTGGAGTGCATTCCAACCTGAGGGGCTCATTTACCAAAACAATATCTGATCTATATATTCTGATGCTCATCATGTTTCAATATTCAATAATCTGGTTCTGACAATGTTCCACTGCTATTCATAAAGTTTTCTGTATCTAAATATTCGGAGCTATTCTACCTCTCCTTCTTCCTAATCTGTCTTTGTCTGGAAGTTCAGCTGAGACCTGTCTACTGTGGATGATCCCACTGGTATTGAAAATACCTATGGCATAGCTCCCAGAATAACAACAACACACAAGTCACTACAGTATGACAAACTAAGAGATGAGTAGTGGAGGACTCAACATAGCTGCTAATAATTTTACGTCTTTAGTCTACATGTATTAGTTCCCTTTAGGGAATTACCATCTAGAGAAAGGTTTTAGTGTTTTCCTTATTGGAAGCTTGTTAAGGAGATGATATACTTTAACTTGGGGTTCTTTTTTTAGTAATCCTTCAGCCTTTCCTATTAAAGTAGAGAATTCAAGCTTTCTTTATTCCATAATATTGTCTTCTACTAAGCAGAAGTCTTCAAAAATTATTCTATTGACTTAATAGCTATCTCTTGAGTAAGGCCCCATTGTTGTTGTTGTTAAGTGCTGATGAGTCAATTCTGACTCATAGCTACATAGTTTGAAAGAGCAGCTGTTGGTTTTGAACTGCCAACTTTTTTTTTTTAACTTTTTATTGTGAATTATATGATCGTTTTCATGGATGAAGATAAGCTTTATATTCATCCTATCGTATTTCGTTTCATTGCAATGATTACAATCCCCTCCATGCATCATCAAACAACCAAAGGGTACATCTGCAAGCCCACCCCTCAGTCATCAGTACACAGCCCCTCTCCTCCCTGAGTCCAGAGTCCGCAGCCGTTCCATCGCTTCACGTCATCATCTCTGCCTCCATCTCTGGCATCACTGCTTCTCTGGCTAGGGTCCCGCACTCTGCTCCTCTCCCTTGATAGTCCCAGGGACCTCCGCTCCTGGACTGCAAAGTCAACCACTCCCCTCCTTTTGCTACATCTACCTTCACAGTCAGTCCTGATAGCAGTTTCCAACCTTCCAGTCCTGATAGCACATTTCCAACCTTCACAGTCAGTCCTGATAGCAGTTATTCACTATTGTGCCACATGAGTGCTATCCCCACCTCCTTTCATCAGCCCCACCCAGACAGATTGGATACTACTCAGTGGAGATTCTACCTTCCTCCGCACCCTCCGCCCTCTGGATCTAGGCAACCTCTTGAAAGCTTGTATACTAGTCACTTCTTGCCTTTGTAGTCCCCTTGTTTTGGGTAGCCAATGTCTAAGTTGCCTATCCCTGTCTAACCCTGTGTACTGAGGGGGTGGGAATGATCCTCACTGTAAAGATTTGTTCCCTCTTTTGAGCTACTGTATCCATAGGTATGGGTCAAGTTCATGAAATTGTATCAAATTACTGGTTTTTCCTCTTCTTTCTTCTTCCAGTTGAGTTCTGATCATCCAGCCATTAAACCCAGGTCAAATGGGTATTATCAGCAAGTGTGGGTGTTGTCGTGTATCATCCCTCACTTCTTATCAGCTGGACACTCCATTCTCCTCTCTAGTCCTCTGTGGCTATGTCACTGACTCTGGGCCCAGGAGGCCCCCGGTCTTGCCATACTGTTGGCCACCCAGGTCTCAACCCGGGTTCACAAGAGTCTATTGAACGTGGTCAGACTTAGCTCACAACTTCATTGCTGTTTTTCCCTCACTTCCCCTTATCGGTGACCAACATGGTCATGAACTGCCAACTTTTTGGTACGCAGTCCCGTGTTTATTCTATAACACCACACCAGAAACCCATATCTATCTCCTTACTATTTTTTTTTTTTTTAGAGAGGTGATGATCTTGCCAAACCCAATTTAACTCTTTTTAAAGGAAAGTCCAATTTTAGATTTTTGATTTTTTAACTTTTCTTGGTTGATGAAATCTTTTAGAAATAGGACTGTTATCAAATCAAACAAAAACTAAAAATTCGTAAACATCCTTCATTTCTACCACAGTATTATTAACACTTGAGTTACTGGAGTATTTTCTGTTAGATAAATTTCAAGTAACTAATGGACCATATTTGTTGCTATGTCTCCTTGAAGTATCCAAGACTATAAATTCAGTATGCTGTATGGAAACAGGTTAGGTTTAAGAGTATTGAAAAACACACATGAACTTATGTATAGTGGCTATCTTTTAGGGATAGGGACTAGAATGGACTTCTCCTTTTCAATTTCACTATAGATGAAATTTGTCATATACAAATACAGTTTTTCTTTTTCTTTTGCCAAGTATTATTTCAGGAGTATACTTTAAAGGCCCCAATTTTGACTATAGTTCTTTATACTCACAGAAAATAGTTCCTTAAAAAGATGGGCACTTAAACTATCAATTTTAAAAATAAACCCAAAGATTTTAGTTCTTTCAGTTTGTCTTATACTATGTAACTTGACTACAGAGATGTTTCTTAATTTTTCCAATCACAACTTAAAAGTATTTGTCCTAACCTAAAAATGTTTCCAAAGATTAAACACTAAACACACTGGCTTTAGCATAGTGGCTACGAATCAGGCTGCTAACCTCAAGGTCAGAAGTATGAAATTACCAGCCATTTTACAGGAGAAAGATGAGGCTTTCTGCTCTTGTATAAATTTACAGCCTCAGAAACCCTATACAGGGTTGTGCTGACTCAAAACCTACTCCACAACACACCACCACCACCACTAAACAATAATTATGAAACAGAAATTCTACAGTGTTAACCAGAAAGTATTGTTACAAAATCATAGAAACCTTTACAAAACATCAAAATGTGATGCTACTGTTGCTCAATATATTCTCCATCTACAACTATATAGTTCTGAACACAGTATTTTACCTCACCATCTCCTGGTGTGGCACTGTCGACTGTGTTAATGCATTGGACTGCAAGGTCAGTATGAACCACAAGGTTAGCGGTTCAAGCTCATCAGCCCATCCTTGGGAAACTGATACCAGGTTGCTATCAATCAGAATTGACTTGAAAGGCACTTAACAACAATCCCTCCCAAAGAATTCTGGGCTCTTCAATTTACATAATGATTTACACAGATGTCTTGGCATCCTCAAATTGTGTTCCTTTTTAAATGTTCTTTGAGTTTGGGGAACAAATAGAAGACTGATGGGACAAGATGATCAGGGCTGTAGGGTAGACAGGGTAAGGTTTTCCCCTAAATTCTCATAGGCTTTGCTGCCATTGAGTCAATTCTGACTCATAACAGTTCAAAATGACCTTTGCAGTCCTATAGCACCTACACCAGAAGTCCTGGATAACCCTTGCTTCACGTCAAATAAAGTGCAGCAGGTGCATTTTTATGATGGAAAATAATTCCTTGGCATTAGTTGTTCACCAAGCATCGTTTTCAGTTTTTGTTTTAGCTTCTTTTAATAAGCCCATATGATTTCCCTTTGTCCTTTTAGAAAATATATCATGATTATCTCTTTGGAATTGCAAAAAACCGTAACCATAAGCTTTTGAGCTAACCTCTTGTATTTAACTGGCCCAAAAGATCCACTCAGAAATTAGTGCTTTGATTGAACCTTGCACTTTGGATTTTATTAGAAAACCCCAGGCTTATCCAGAGTTACAATTTGTTCCATAAATCATCTTCATTAGTTTTGATCTTGCTTAAAAACTGATGGAAAGATCAACTCTTTGAGCTAGCTGACTTTTATATAACACTCTTTATTTTAGTATCCCATTTTTAAAGGCATTTTTAGGAGACTAAGATAAGTGTATTACCAAAATAACTAATCTATAGCCATTCACTAATTGCAGAGACATGTTTAAACATGTTTTGTTTGGAATAAACTTGTGCATGTAAGCACCAGAACCCTGATAGCAAAACTTTTTCATTTTCCTTCATGTATTAAGTCTTAGCTAAAATTTAAATGTTTGAGTGAAATAATAATGAACAGCTTGATGATTTGTTAAGATGTTAAAACTACTGGCTAAACCACTGCCTTAAAAAACAAAGCACTGTGTAACCAGTGAGGTGGAGATAATGAAAAGTTTGTTTAAAAAGTCACTCACAATTTCTTACTTATACAAAAACTCAAAATGTAACTTATTTGTTACAAATCAGTCTACTGAATTCTAAAAACATATTCCGAACAGTGCTTTATTACCTGTGGCTGGGTTGATGCTGGCAGCAATATGAAAATGGCAAAGTGCATTGGCTTGCAATGGGGTGTTCCTGTGAACATGATGTGGATCCTGCTGATGAGGCAGGTAGCCGGTATGTGCTACAAGTGCAAGTGATCTTCTTCGACCTCTACGAAAATGTCTCAAATTAACCTGGGTGAATAAAAAAAAGTAAAACCACTGCCAATATTGCTATAAATCATATATGCATAGACTACATAATAACTGTTAAATGTCACATATATTGTTGTTGTTAAGTGCCGTCCAGTTGGTTCTGACTCATAGTGATCCTGTGTAGGGTTTCTTAGGAGAAACTGGTGGGCTTGAAATGCCAACCCTATGGTTGACAGTCCACTGCTGATCCTATAGCGTCACATGAGGAGTCCTGTGACTTCTGAAAGAGCTTTAAAAAGCTCCATCATCAAATGATCTTATAAATATATTAAAGTATTTTTAAGAATTTCTGTACAGCAAAATTTTACACAACAAATTTTTGTACAGCAAATAAGTTAGGAGTTATTCTCTAGGTTTCAAATTTGATCTTGCCTATCCATCTCTTAACCTTAACATAACACTCTGTAATTGAATTTTATTTGGCTTATTTTCTTATAATTACTTTTCTGAAGTTAAAAACTAGGGGGAAAAGGTATACAATAGATATGTTTGTGGGAACGATGTCTCTACATATACTGTTTTCATTTTACAGGCTACTTGACCATAAAACACTGAAAAGTATCACCAGCATGTATTAGGAATGATATTTTATAATTTACAAAGCATATTTTCATTTGATCTGATATGAAGACAGTACAAGTATTATTATTCTCATCTTTTTTATGAGAAAACAGTTTATAAAGAACCCAAGGTCACCTGGCAAAGCTAAAAGTAGAACAAATGGCTTCTTTCAGGTATTATCACACAAAGCCATTCTATCAGTTGCCAAGTAACACACAATATGTATTTAGTTCTATTTTAAGCCGATACTATACAAATGGGAAAAACAGCTGTTCTATAGTCATACAAACATTCAAAGATAAATCATAATTGGATCACTTGCAATTTTCAATAGCAATAAAACAAAATAATAGGAATCTGTATTATTATTCTATCTTCAACTCTGCAGAATTAGAAGTAGTTTTGTGTATTGGTCAAAGTTTTTGTTAATATTTTAAAAATAAAACAACTTAAAAATTCCTGAAAATGGTTTTCCTGAGATATATTTATTCTTTAGAATCAGCTATATGGCATTGTATATTAATTACAATTGTTGCTTATTAAAAAGACTATCTACAAAAGGTTTATAAGACATATAGGAAATAATATCTAATAAAAACACTCACTTCTAAAGCATTTTGAACTCGTTCTTTACTGGAAGCATTTCTCTTGAAGTTATTTGGTAAATTAATTGGTTCAGTCCAATGGTTGCAGTCACCTCCATATAGCAAACAATCATTTGGTAAAAATGTCTCCACCCAAAGACGACAAACGTTATCTTTGCAGCAAGTCAACAGTACATTACAGACAGAAGCCCTAAAGAATAGAAAGATTTGAGGCAGAAATACAAACTTTACATAGTAAAAGAAATTCTAAAATTCTACAATGTTTCTATAATTTTTTAAATGCCCACCAGTTAAGTAACAAAGAAGAAAATGTCTATGTACAAATATTAGCACTATTAGTCAGGACAACTGCAATTAAATGGATGTTTGACTTTATCCCAGCAATGTTTGCCAACCTTTCTTTTCTATCTAGAATTTAGTAGTTCTTGTTTTAATAATCCAATTTTCTTAGGAAGACAAGTAAAAAAGTAATGCTACAAAATAATAGAAAACTTCATTTAACAGAACATATTAAAATATTGTTTCTCAATGTATTCTCCATGTAGGTCTATATATTTCTGAAAGCTGATGTTTCTCTCAAGAACTCTGTGCTCTTCCATTTACACTACTTCAAAATGTTATAGCATCCTCAAGGGACTCAAATCATGTTCCTTTGAAATATTGAGTTTGGGGACGAAAAACAAGTTTGAAAAGGGCAGGATCAGAGCTGTAGTGTAGATGGGGTAAGGTTTACCAGTGAAATTCTCACAGGACAGAACTTGCCACCCTCAAAGAAAGAGCAGATGCATGGTCATGATGGACAAAATTTCTTGGCTCAATTTTCTGTTTACCTCACCAATGCAGTTTTTAATTTTCTTAAAACTTGATTATAACTAGCCCCCGTGGTTGTCCTGTATCTTTTAAGAAACAATCAATATTACTCTTTGGAACTATCTGAGGTGACCTCTCTGCTTTGAATTTAACAGGCCTAGCAGATTACCTTTGACACCACCATTTTCACTGGACTTTTTTTTTTTTTTTTAAGACCATAGAAGAATTGATGCATTTGAGTTATTTGAAGGTTTTGGTTTTTTCTCTCTCTCTTTTTTGAAAGTATTTTAACAAGACTTCTTGTTGTTTGGTGCCATCAAGTAGGTACTGACTCATAGTGACACAATGCACAACAGAACGAAACACTTCCCGGTCCTGGGCCAACCTCACAACTGTTGCCACACTTGAGCACACTGATGCTGCCACATTGCCAATCCATCTCACTGAGGGTCTTTCTCCGTTTCTCCTAGCCTCCACCTTAACAAACATGACACCCTCTCCAGCGACAGGTCCATCCTGGCCTCCAAGGAGGATTCTGGCTGTACTTCTTCCAATACAGATCTGTTTGTCCTTTAGGCAGCCCATGGTACTTTCAATTTTCTCCTCCAACACCATAACTCAAATGCATCAATTTTTCTAGTCTTCCTTATTCACTATTCAGCTTTCACATGCATATGAGACTATTGAAAATACCATGGCTAAAAAAAAAAAAGCTAAAGAGGATAGAGAGAAACTCTGTTAACTGATGATATGTGGAGGGGATTATAAGTATGGTAAAACAATACAACCCTGTTGCCCACCTTTCTTAATTTTAAACCATTTAGTGTTCCCATGTTCTGTTAGAATAACTGCCTCTTGGTCCATGTACAGATTCCTCATGAGCACAATTAAGTGTTCAGGAATACTCATACTTTGCAATGTTGTCCATAGCTTGTCATGATCCACACAATTAAAAGCCTTTACACACTCAATAAATCACAGATAAACATCTTTCTGGTATTCTCTGCTTTCAGCCAAGATCCATCAGACATCAGTAATGATATCCCTCGTTCCATGTCCTCTTCTCAATCTGGCTTGAGCCTCTCGAAGTTCTCTGTTAATGTATGCTTGCAGCCGTTTCTGTATTACCTTTAATAAAACTTTACTAGCATGGCATATCAAATATATTGTCTGATGAAATCCACATTCCGTTGGGACACTGCTCTTCGGAATGGGCACAAATATGGATCTCTTCCAATCAGTTGACCAGATAGCTGTCTTCCAAATTTCTTGGCAGAGATGAGTGAGTACCTCCAGTGCTGCCTCATTTTCTTGAAAAATTTCAATTTTTTAAAAAAAATGTTTTATTGTGAATTGTGTGATAATCTACATGGGAGAACATCAGCTCTACATTCATTCCATCATCCATCATTTCGTTGGCATAGTTATCATCCTGTCCATGCATCCTCACCCAACCAAGGGTGTACCCTATAAACCTGCACCCCCCTCACACCACAGTCCTCAGCCCCTTTCCATCTCCTGATCCCGAGCCCCCAGCCCACCATGTCTTGACGTTGTCTTCTCTGCCTCCATCCCAGGCCTCACTGCCTCTCTGGGTAGGATTCCGCTCTTCGCTCTTCTCCATCGATGGTCCCAGGGTCCTCTGCTCCTAGACTGATAAATCAATCACTCCTCTCTTTGTTACAAAATGTCCATCTTTAGATTTCCAACCCTCTCAATCAGTCCTGATAACAATTATTCACCATTGCATCACAAGAGATCCATCTATATTTCATTTCATCAGCCCTTCCTGGACAGGCTGGACACCACTCACTGGAGACTCCACCTCCCTACATGCCCTCTGGATCTAGGTTCCCTCTTGAAAGCTTGTAAGCCAGTCACTTCTTGCCTTTGTATCCCTCCCATTTTGGGTAGCCAATGTCCAAGATGCCCATCCCTGTCTACCCTTTGTGTGGAGGGGGTGGGTATAGTTCTTGCAGCAGGGACTTGTTTCCTCTTTTGAGCTACTGCATTTATAGGTGTAGGTCATGTTTATCGAAATGTATCAGATGACACTTTTTTCCCTCTTCTTTCTTCTTAGGGTTGAGCTCTGTTTATCCAGTCATTGAAGTCCAATCAAATGGGCAACATCAGCAAGTGTGGGTGTTCTTACGTCTGTCCGGCCTCTTTTTATCAGCTGGCCGCCCTCCTCTCCACTCTGGACCTCTGTGGAAAAATTTCAATTTTTATTCCATTAATTCCTGGAGCCTTATTCTTTGCCAATTCCTTCAATGCGCCTTGGACTTCTTCCTTCAGTATCGGTGGCTCTTGATCATATGCTACCTCTTGAAATGGTTAAGCATCGACCATTTCCTTTGGTGCTGTCCTTGTGTATTCCTTCTATCTTCTTTTGATGCTTTCTGCATCATTCAATAATTTGCCCAGAAAATCCTTCAATAATGAAATTTGAGGCTTGAATTCTTTCTTCAGTTCCTGAGCTTAAGAAATGCTGAGCATGTTCTTCCCTTTTGGTTTTCTGACTCCACATCTTTGCACATTTCGCTGTAATATTTTATTTTGTCTTATCGAGCTGACCTTTGAAAATTTCTGTTTAGCTCTTGTACCTTCTCATTACTTCCATTTGCTTTATTTATCATCTCTATGCTGGACAGTAAGTTTCAGTGTCTCTTCTGACTCACAAACCATCACAGTATGAAAAACTGACAGACAAGTGGTGGCTAACCAGATTAAGACAAGTATATTACTGAAAGACCTTGTCTTCAGTCATCTTCAGTCATCTACTGATCACAGAGACATGTTTAAACTTGTTTTGTCTGTAATAAACTCATACATGTATAAACTAGAACTGTAGTAACAAATACTTGCTGACTTTCCTCATATACACATACATACATACAAATATAGATATGACTAAAATCAAGCCATATTCCCTCTGATAGTAAGCAAGGTAAAAACTGTATCTTTCAATTATAAAATGTTCAAACCTTCCTTTCAGTTATCAGCCCAGCTCTAAACTAATATACTCCAAGACTGTTTCATTTTACTTCCTGTAAAGACACCTGCACAGTGGTTACTATAGTAACTACTCACTCCACTATACTTTCCTCTAGTATAAGACAATAAAGTCTAAGAACAGAAAATATACTATAAAGTACACATTAACAACCTCCCTTTTTACTCATCCTTGGCTTTCAGCAAATAACCTTTTTTGCATCCACAAATAAAAACAAAATCAAATACTACTATATCAATTAACCCCATAAATATCAACAGCCAAAAGGCTGAAAGTCTATTGTGACAGTTAAGGTTTTGTGTCAACTTGACTGGATCAAGATTCTCAGGGGTCTGGCAGTTGAGATGTAGCTATCCCCTCATGATATGATTTAATACGATAAATCAGTAGGAAAATTAGGGGTGGGATTTTTGTTGTTTAGTGCCATTGAGTCAGTTCTAACACATAGAGACCCTGTATAGAGATTTTGAAGAGCAGCTGGTGGATTTGAAATACTGACTTCACTTTGTGGCTAGCGGTCCAGTGCTTATCCTACAGCATCACAACAGGATACACTACCCTTAATCCTACCACCACCCTGATCCCCAGTGTTTGGCATGCAATACCTTTTATCTTACTAGAGATAAATAGAGAGAAACTTGAGCAAACAAAGAGGAACCTACTACTACCAAGACAGAAGAGCCAGGAGTGGACTGCATCTTTTGAACCTGGGGTCCCAGTAATGTGAAGGTCCTAGACCCTGGGGAAAATTGATGCCAAGATGTATGGAGATTTCCACAAGGAATTCTGGACTTACAGATGCTGAAAGAAGACAAGGACCTTTCCCTAGCACCCACAGGAAAAAGCCTTCCCCAAGAGCTGACACTCTGAATTTGGACTGTTAGCCCTCTAAAATTGAGAGGATACATTTCTGGTTGTTAAAGTCATCCACTTGTAGTACTTCTGTTATAACAGCATTAGATAACTGAGACACCTATTAACAAAGAATGTCTTCAATAGGGTAACTCAGGAAGTTTAGAAAAAGAAGTCAAAATATCCTGAAGTAAGGTACTTCTTCAAACTTACCTGATTAAAAATATTAAGTAGGTAAATCAGTAAGTTAGGAAAAGAAAAAGAAAAAAATATCTACAGTAGCCACTTAGTTTTTTAAAAAAGTCAACAAGTAGCAGAGAAGACACTGCAGAACAGCATACTTTGACTTGGCTGCTCTTCTCTCCAGCCTCCCTTCTCATTTCTCTCTCTCACTCATTTCTCTCCATCTCCACTTCCCCCTTTCTCAGTCCACTCAGCTGCCTTAGTCCCTCTTTTCACTTCCTCTGGTTTCCCTCCCTCAGTCTCCTCCCCTCATTCTCTGCATCTCAACCTCTCCTCAAATCCCCTACCCTTTCTCTTCCTGTTGTTGTTGTTAAGTGCCTTCAAGTCAATTCTGACCCATAGTGACCCTGGTGTAGGGTTTCCGAGGAGCAGCTGATGAGCTTGAACCGCCAACCTTGCAATTCAATTGACTTCGCAGTCTGGCCCATTAACCCACAGCGCCACACCAGGACTCTTCTCTCTCCCTAGCACCCCTCAAACTTCTTTCTTCTCCAAATTTGCCTTTCTCTATTTCCCCATCCTAATACCTCTCCCTCCCTCCTCTTCAAACAGAGCAGGGTACATTTTCCTCTCTCCATTTTTCTCCTCCCTTCTATTTCTTTTTCTACCTTTAGTTTTCTTCCTTTTTCTACCGGATTCTCCCTTGCTACCTTTCTTTCTACCCTTCCTTTTCACTACCCTATTTCCCTTCCCTCTTTCCTCCTTTTCCTCCCTCCACACCTCTTCTTTTTTTCCTTTCCCTCTATGTTCTCCTAGGACCCTTTCCTAGCCTCCCTTCCTCTCTGTCTCTCTAGTACATTCACTTATACACAGACAATAACAATGCTATTAAGTAGTAAACAAACAGAAAGAAAATACATCAAAGGGTAAAAGAATATGGAAAAGTTCCAGGTTCATAGTGCTAATTAATAGACGGTAGGATGAAAAGGCTTATAAAGGAATAGCAGAAGGTAGGACACTAAAGATCTATACAGAGTGCAATCAGAAGAGATGTAACTGAAGCAAGGGCAATAAAGCAAGTAAGAAAGGTGCACACCTCAGAAGCATGAAGGCAATTTTGACTCTGGAGTAAGGGTGGACTCAGGTGACTCTTCTTAGGATATCATGCCTCACACATAGTTAAAGTCCAAAACAAAAACCAAACCCATGGAGTTGATTCCAACTCATAGTGACCCTACAAGACACAATAAAACTACTCTATGGTTCTGAGACTTCAAATCTTTTGGGAGCAAACAATCTCATCTTTCTCTTGTCGAAAGGCTTGTGCGTTTGTACTGCCAACCTTGCAATTAGCAGTCCAACACTTAATCCATTATGATACCAGGGAACCTTAATCAGTGAATAGTTAGTAAGTAATATGAGCAGTGCATGAAGAAAATACGATCTCCAATTTGTTTGAGGCATCTTACTCTCCTATGAACTCCTGGTGTGGCATTATAGGATCAGCACTGCACTATGAACCACAAGGTCGGCAGTTTAAACCCACCAGCTGCTCCTGGGAAACCTTATCCTATACAGGGTAGCTATGAGTCAGAACTGACTCAACGACACTTAACAACAACTCTCCTTTCAATGACACATCATACTCATGTATAGGCAAAAAAGGTATAACCTTACATAAAGCAGCTAAGTACATGCTGGGTAAGTACTCACAACACCTGTCATACCTTGATTAACAATAGGCTAAGGTAGTTTTGAAACTAGATTATCTAGAACTCTTGGGGCTCTTTAAAGGAAATGAGCAAGTCCCTCAACCTGTCCCGCATTAAAAATGTATTATTACAAAAATTTCCCCATTCTTCTAGCTGAATCCAACAATTCCCTTGTATATAAAATTAGCCATTTAATTGAACAACTTAATTGTATGGGAAAAACAAAGCACATTTTGTCCAGTAAAGATGATGTATCAGAGCAATGATCTTTGATGTGATCTCTGTCTTTCTCATGAGAAAAGACTGTGTTTTCCTCTATATGCCTGGCAGGCAGCCTGTAAACAACAACAAAACTGTAAATAGGGAGACTGGCCAATTCTTAAATGACACGGATCTTACAGTAAAATTCTGGAGACTTCTACAAGATGTCATAACTAACCAATAGGAAAGTTCCCTATGATGCAAAATTTAATTTAGATAACATATACATGAGCAGAAAATAAAAACAAAGCTGGTGTCCCTTATTGCTTTTATTATGCATCTGTAATGGCCCAGTTTTAAGCATCTGCTTCTGCCTTCACTCACTCTGCTGCAACTGAGTGAACTAGGTCAGAAGCAGATGTGACACAGAATATGTCCTAAGCCTTTTTTTCAGTATTTTGGTGGCTGGAGTATATGTAAATAAAAACACTTGGACATAAAACTAGAAACCAGATTCACCCAAAGACTCTGACACGTTTTCCTAAAACCATTACTGTTGCTAGAATATGTCCTACTCCTGTGCTTGGTAGGGAATGGAAGCTTGGGTGGAAAGAATGGTAAACTACTGCACTAGAAAATAGCTAAAAAAAAATCTAGGTGTTCTCTGCTGGTTCAGAAGAGCAAAAATAGTCAGCAAATGATCCAGGTATAAAAGATCAACCTAAAATGTCTCAAGTGATAAAACTCTTAAAACACTGAAAAGATAAGAGAAAAATAGTACTGCTCACATGTATGCCAAACAGAAAATGGCCACACAAAACATAAAGAAGTTTCTACTTATATTTTAGTGATAATATGTCTCCATAACTTACTTAAATACAGGAAGAAGTTCAGTGTGATATTAAGTTTTTCAAGGAACATAGGAAAGAAAAGAAGTACTGAGGTGTGTAGATTTGTGTTTGTGTTAATGTATACGTTTAACCTAATTGCTAGTTCAGGGCATAATATGGGTGTTAACCCATTCTCTTTTCCTCAAAGATTTTGCATGCAGTAAAATAAATGTTTTAGGCTTTTTGATACATCTTCTCAAAAATAGTTTAAAAAAAAAAAAAAAGAATCAAGAGGAGACTAGAAGTTTTAAGATGCAAGAGAAAAATGTGATAAAAAGTCCATGCTAACAATTTGGAAAGTAATGAATGATAAAAGAATTGGATGTAAAACATAAAGAAGAAGATGCAGAACTCCAATGCTTAGAGAGATCTGATATGAAGGTTAATAATCTTGGTTTAAACCCAATTTACATGGCTACATGGCTTACATTTTACAATTTGATTATAGTAAATTCATGGCGAGACGACTGTCAGTCAGGGGGTTATCTTACTTACTCAAATACAAAGACAGGGTAAGAAGCTATTAACTATGTACTTTGTAAGTGAGAAAAGTAGTCAAAATAACAGTGATCACTAATCCACTAACCTAGGCATATATTTGCTTGTCTTACGCCAGGAAAATCCATTTACAGCTCGAGGATGGGCCAGATATACAAATGAAAAGTCAATTTCCCCTTGGGATTGTTTCTCTGAACTTGTATCTGGAGAGGTTACAGCTGTCCGCCAGTTTTCTACATTATACCATACCTTTAAAAGACAGTCATCCTAAGGGAGAAAAACAGAAAAACATCAAAATAAAAGTAACGAGAATCAAATTCAGACTAGAATCAAATTATAGTTAAGTAACAAAAGTAGTATCTTTCTCCCCAGTCACATAAATTTAGGAATGGGAAGGGGGTTAGGCATAGGTAATTGATAAGGAAAATCTAATTCCCATACTTTTCTATTTTTGCTGTTTTTTTTAGGTACCAGTGAATTGGTTCCAACTCATAGCGACCATATGCAAAACAAAACTAACACTGCCCAGATATGCACCACTCTCACAAATGTTGCTATGTTTGAGTCCACTGTTGCTGACTTTGTGTCAATTTTATTAGCTTTCCAGCACTGTGCTTTGAGAACTTATGTGTTTAAATGTGTGTATCTTGCAACAATTGGCAGTACACACACACACACACACAAAAACTTGCTAGACACCATATACTCTGTGAGTGGAATCATTCAAGAAGAACTCTCAAAAACTGAAACCAGCGTTCATTTTCCCATTTAGCCAAATGCCATATAAGAAAATACTACCAGCACCAGCAGACTTAAAAACCCAAACCCATTGCCTTCAAGTCAATTCTGACTCATAGCAACCCTATAGGCCAGTGTAGAAAGTACCCCAATGCTTCGTCTTCCTCCCACGGAGAGGCTGGTGGGTTCAAACTGCCAAACTTTCAGTTAGCTGTCAAGCTATTAATTATTGTAGGAAAAAAGAAGGGGGATAGTTTTCATGAATTACCATCAGTTAACAAACCGAAAAAAAAAATGTTGAAGATTATAACTCCTTAATAACTGAGGCGCTCTGGTGGCATGATGGTTAGGCAATTAGTTGTTAACCAAAAGCTTAGTGGTTTGAACCTACTCTGTGGCTCCATAGAAGAAAGAGACAGCAATGTGCTTCTTTAAAAATTATCAAGCTAACGCGATGGAGCAGTTCTACTCTGTCACATGAGATTGCTATGAGTCGGAATTGATTTGTTGGCATCCAACAATAGTCAATAACCACCAACAGAGCAGTTACCATGGATTAAATTCGGACTCATGGTAACCTCATGTGTTGAAGAGTAGAACTGCATTACATAGGGCTTTCTAAGTTGTGATGCAGATCATCAGGCCTTGCTTCTGGGTGGGTTTGAGGTACCTTTTGGTTAGTAGTCAAGCAGTTAACCATTTACACTACTCAAGGATTCCTAGCTTGCTAGCAGTACATAAAACATTTTAAGTACAAACAAATTTATACCTCTTAATTAGGAAATAAGGCGCTCTGGTAGCACAGTGGTTACGAATAGGGTTGTGAACCTTAAGGTCAGCAGTTCAAAACTACCAGCAGTTCTGTGGGAGAAAGATGAGGCTTTCTGCTCCCGTAAAGATTTACAGCCTCAGAAACACTGTACAGGGTTGCTATGAGTTGGAACCAACACCACGGCATATAACCACCATCACCACCAATTAGGAAATAAGGGGAAAACAAGGAAGAAGAGAATGAACCAGGAGCTACTCTTTACTATAAAGTCAATCAGGAAAAAAACAGCTCTAAACTCTCCTCAGAAAATCTCACTGATGTTTTAGGGTATCTTGGCGGTGGTGGTGTGCCATGGAGTCAGATCCGACTCATGAAAATCTTTACAGGAGCAGAAAGTCTCATCTTTTTCCTGTGGAACAGCTGGTAGTTTAGAATTATTGACCTTGAAGTTAGCAGCCTGACTTGTACCCACTATGCAACTAGAGCTCCTTTAAAGTACCTTACACTAAGTTTTCAGAAGGCTTTGAGCCATAAGAACAATAGTTTCAGACTATTAGTGGTTCACAGGGGAGTCCTGGTGTGGCACTATAGGATAAGCACTCAACAGCAAAGTCAGTTTGAATGACGGTGGTTCAAATGAATGAACTGATCCTTGGAAACCCTATACAGGATTACTATGAGTCAGAACCGACTCGATGACAATGAACAAGTGGTTTACTGGAGTCCTGGTGTGATACTGCAGTATAAACACAGGACCACAAGGTTAGTTTGAACTGCAGGATTGGTGGATCAAATCCACTAGCCCCTCCCTGGAAACCCTATACAAGGTTGCTAACAGGCAGAACTGACTCCATGGCACTTAAAAACAACATGTGGTTCACTAACTAATCTGTGAATTAAAAACATAAAAAGTAATTTCAAACACATAGATTGTTCTGAAAACAGGTATTGCCAAAGTAAGCATATTAAGAAATTACTACAGTCAACCACATCTATCAATTAAAAGGCAATTTGTAGCTGTTGTTATGTGCAGTCAAGTTGGTCCCCCACTCATATTGACCCTGTATAGGGTTTCTGAGGCTGATAATCTTTGACGGAGCAGAAAGCCTCATATTTGTCCCAAAGAGCAACTGGTGGTTCGCAGTCCAGTGATTATACTACAATACAACTAGTTAAGAGTAGTAATAGTTTGCTGCTGTTAATTGTCACTGAGTCAGTTCTGACTCACAGCAACCCTGTATAGGGTTTCTGAGGAAGGACTGGTGGGTTTGAACCACCATTCTTGTAACTCAAACCGACCTTGCAGTCCAGTGCTCTATCTTACAGTACAACACCAGGATTCCAGTTAACAGTTTATTGGTTATTTATTACTGTGCCAGTCATTTTATATGTATTACATAATTAAATTCTATGATCAATGAATTATTTGTGAAGCCGGTGTTATTATCCTCATTTTAAACACGAGAAAACAAAGGCTCAAAAATATTAAATAACTTATGCAAGATAACACATACTAGCTCATTTATTACCTTTTAACATCATAATATTTAGCTAAATTTGTTATATTTTTAAAAGGAAATATTTTTAATTTAAGTAAAGGAATGAAACTAAGTTAATATATTTAAAGTTTCAAAGTAAAACAAAAACGCAATCTGTTAATAGCACTTTCATAATTTACCTTCCCAGCAGTTGCAAAAAATTCTCCATCTGGTGAAAATTTCATTAAATGTACTTGGGAAGCAGTTCTGAAAATTAAAGAATAATTTTCAAAGAAAATTAATTAACTGAATGCAGTGTTAGTTTTCCTGTACTTCAGATATTGCTTCAAACAGAAACTTTTATAACAACACATTTCACACATACTTTATAGACATTTTAGAAATGAATAAATTAAGATAAACTTTAAACTTAAAAGTATCCATGCTTAAGAATCCATGCAAGGAATGACTTGTTAAAATGTTTAAAGTCCATGACAAGAGTCAAAGCTCTTGTACCCTTAGATCTTAGAAACTGAACCTAATTTTTAAGAATATAGCTATCTAATTTCTAAAAGCTCTACATACCTATCTTCCAACATACACTTTCAAGGAAAATGAGACAATAATTTCAAATACACTATTCCTTAGAGTACCATTTTCCCAATTAAAGACTATACATGGGTTAATAGATAGATGGCTTGCCCATCACTCCTCTGTTATTTTGTCACTGTGGTGACTTGCATGTTGCTGTAATGGTGGAAGCTATACCAGTGGTATTCTGAATGCAGCAAGGTCACTCAATGTGGACAGATTTCAGCAGAGCTTCCAGACTGACAGACAAGATGAAGACCCTCAGGTTGGAAAGCATTCAAAATATGAGTGGGAAAGAGCTGTCTCCTTAATGTAGAATTCACCATGATGACATAAATGAAGTAAAGCCTTTGGAATCTTCATTTACTGATGTGGAACTCAAAATGTAGAGAAATAGCTATGAACTTCTATTAATAAATGACTGTGGAATATGCAAACTATGAATCTAGGAAAACTGGAAGTTGCTAAAAAAGAAATGGAACACACAAACACAGATATCCCTAGGCATTACTGAGCTAAAATGGACTATATTAGCTATTTTGAACCTGACATCATATGGTTTACTAAACAAGGAATGACAAATTGAAGAGGAATGGTATTCATATTCATACGCATTTCAAAGAGAGGTAACCCAATAAAATACAGAAATCACTGGACAATATTAATTCTCTATTCAAGTTAAAATTTTGCTAAAAATAATTCAAAAATGGCTGAAACAGTACACTGACAAAGAACTGCCAGAGTTAAAAGTTGGATTCTGATGAGGATGTAGAAAGAGGAATATCATTGCTGATATCAGAGAGATCTTGGCTGAAAGCAAAGAACACCAAAGAGATGTGTACCTGTACTTTATTAACTATGCAATGGAAAACATTGTGGAGAATGAGTATTCCCTTACAATATATTATGCTCTTGAGAAAGGTGTCCATAGACCAAGAGGCAGTTGTTTAAACAGAACAATAGAACACCGAATGGTTCAAAGTTTGAAATGTGTGCTCCAGGGCTGTACTCTTTCACCATACTTACTTAATCTGTAAACTGAGCACATAATCTGAGAAACCGGATTATATGAAAAAGACTGTGACATCAGAATTGGAGGAAGGCTCATCAATCTGCAATATGCAGGTGATACAACTTTGCTTGCTGGAAGTGAAGAGGACTTAATATACTTACTGATGATGATAAAAAAACAACAACAAACAAACCACTTCGGTATGGGTTGTACCTCAGTGTAAAGAAAAAACAAAAATCTTCATCTCTGGACCAATAAACAACATCAAGATAAATGGAGAAAAGATTGAAGTGGTCAAAGACTTTATTTTGCTTGGATCCACCATCAACACTCATGGAAGCAGCAATCAAGAAATCAAACTGTATTACACTAGGCAAATATGCCACACAAGACCTCTTTAAAATGTTCAGTAGCAAAGATGTCAGTTTGAGTACTAAGTTGTGCCTGACCCAAGCCATGGTATATTCCAGAATCTCGTATACATGTGAAACTTGGACAATGACTAAGGAAGACTGTAGAAGTATTGATGCCTTTGAGATATGGTGTTGCAGGAGAGTACTAAAAGTACCATGGACTTCCAAAAGAACACACAATTCTGTGTTGTTAGAAGTACAGCCAGAATGCTCCTTAGAAGCCAGGATGCAGCATGTCCAGACTTCATCTCTTATACTTTGGACATATTATCAGGAGGGAGTAGTCCCTACAGAAAAACAGCATGTTTGTTAAACTGGATGGTCAGTGAAAAAGAAGGACCTCCCCCCTCGCCACACACACACACATGATGGACTGGCACAGTGGTAGCAGCAATGAGCTCAACTGTACCAAAGATTATGAGTTTGGTGCAGGACCAGGCAGTGTTTTATTCTGTTGTGCATAAGGTCGCTATGAGTCGGTGCCAATTTGATGGCACCTAACGACAACAACGAGCGAGAACTTTGAGCAGCAGCGAGAACGTCGAGCAGCAGCGAGAACTTCGAGCAGCAGTGAGACGTGTAGTGAGGAGCTCCAACAACAACAACACGGAATACTGGGCCAAGAGGACTCAAGAGATGGTGTTGGAACTCTATAATAAATATAAAGGTATGTTTGGAGGTTTGGAGGGTTTATAGCTGGGGAATTTGCAGGAGAATCCAGAAATCCATTATTTTCTGATCCAAGACACTCAGCTGTTCCAGGAGCCGCCATCTTGGGAAAGCTTATCTTGATTGTACCAGGATTAATAGGATTAGGAGAGAACATCTTGATTGTATCTTGATTATATCAGGATTGTATCAAGATTGACAATGAAAGTTAAAGAGACAGTATAGACATAAAACCAA